TACTCCTACCACTACTACTACTACTCAAAACAGTGAGATATGTGATATTACGTTGTTTAATTACATTTTTCTTATATCTCCAGTGACTCTGATAGCAGCAGTAGTAGCAGTGTGTGTTATAGCAGCAATACTAGCAATTATTGCCATTGCTAGAATAATAGTAGTATTAGTAAAGAAAAAGTCTAAAAAAAGTAAGTGACTGTTATTTAATGAGGTTTTATTATTACAATTTAATAAGGTGAATACACTGTTACATTCTCTGATATAACAGTTACAATTGAAGGCTCAGAGGACAAAAAAAGGTACAAGTATATTTATAATAATGAAGTTCTGTTTTGTGTTTCTTTCCTTTTAGTGAAACTGAAGTGGATATACCAGCACCTCACTCTGTACCTGTACGTGATACAGAATCACATTCTGAGTATGTACAAAATGTCCACTTGTTTGATTTTAATTTACTTTAATAATTCTAGGAGCCAACCCCATCCTCCTCGAAAATATCCTAATCCTGAAGATCTCCCAGCTTCAGTTCTTGACACACCTACTAATGCAGATGCGTCTACTAAACCATTAGGTGGTGGAAGCACTATGGTTTCTTCAACTATGACATCACAACAAAGTGCTAGCACCTTAGAGAAACAGCCTCTAATTCCGGACTCAAAGGTTAGAATATTCATATTTTTTGTAATAAATTAAAAATTTTATTGTAGAATGAAAAGCCTAAGTTTATAGCTCCAAAGCGAACAATTCCTCCTCAACTTGGTGCACAAAAAGAGCCTCAAAAGGACCCTCCGTCCAGTAGTACCCTCTTAATACCAGAGGCTCAAACCAATCGGCCTAAAGGAAAGACAGTAACACTTGCTCCTGCTTCACTAGTTATGCCACCTGCTAATAATCAAGATGAGGATAGGCAAGGAATAAATCAGGTCAGGAGTTTTTATTGTTATGAATTTTTACATTGTTGTCATTCTTATAGGATTCTGGAGTTGGTCAGTCATTGATTCACATACTACCTGGTTCTACAGGATCCTCTACTGCTTATTGTAGCTTGACAGCTGGAAGTAAGTGCGCTCTCTTTCAATATAGTGTATACCATTGTTATTACTGATATTATGTAGACAAAAGTGAGGGCGAACAGAAGGACAATGAAAAAGATGCGATATGATTCAACCCTCAGAAACAGTATATTTTGAATAAACTTTAGCTGCTTTTTCTATTAGTTATAATGCTTAGCTTGTGTGTGTAGTTGTAATGCTGCTTTTTGTTTTTTTATAATTGATGCTGCTTTTTGTTTTTTTATAATTGATGCTGCTTTTCATTCTTAGTTAGTTCTGTATGCTGTTGCTGCTTTTTTCAAAAATTTGTTTTGTTTTTAATATCCATAATTTGAAAATTATTTGTCGAAATCAGCTCATATCTACATAATATAAGTACATCAATGTGTATCAGAAAGCGTAATAAAAATTTGGGGTGACTTTGGAGCCATTTTTAGAAAAATCATGGGCTAATGGTCTTTGCTTGGGTCGTTTTAGCTCAAAAAAACTTTGCAACCACTTATTGTCTAAAATTTTAAGTCAAATTTAGAAGCAATTTTGAAAATTCATAGAGAATATTGGAATTGCCTCAAATTTCTACAGAACATAAGAATATGTATATTTAAAAATGAAGATTTTTCTTCTAGTGATTTGTAGCAAAATATCCTATGCTATACAAAGCCCTTTGTACAAACTTTGATTGGAATTAGCTCCAACCTTCAACACAATGTAATGAAAAATGGAAAACTTTAACTCCAACAAATATAGATGTAAGCAATGGAACTAATTGAATCATTTGTTTTACAGTTACAAAAATAGCATTGTATTTTTTCCCAACGATAACAAGCACGGGGCATTTTGATCAGAACTAGGAAAACTAGCTGTGCTAAATATTAGGTATCGTGAGCCTACACTGTATTGTGCAATGTATATTGTTTTGAAAATAATTATACTAGATTTGGCCAATCCTGAATTAATTGTTTTTGAAAAGGATCAGTCAGATGACAATCACTTTAATCATGCATCACAATCACTTCTTTCCTATCCTGCACGTAGACTCTCTGCACAATTATTCATTAGTCTATAGTTACACCATACTGAGCGACCACACCTTCTGGAGAAGTAGGAGCTCGAGTAGCAGATCTAGATATAATCATGTTTCTTCCTCTCATACTTTTTCTAAACGTCTTTATCTCGAAGGGAACAAATAGTGCTTGTAAGTATCGAAGTACCTGTAAGTTCCAACTGACTTTGTGTTCTAGATATAACAGTTAGTCCTACTTCTGTTACTGTTCCTATTTATGAGACAGCAAGTTTTACTTGTGAAGGAACTGGCAATGAACTTAATTGGATAGTACACAGTAATCCACTAACAGAATCAGTTAAACAGCAAAGAGATATATCAGTTACTAGCAATAATGAAGGTGGTAACTTATCATCAGTACTTACTATCAGTGGGTTACCTGTTAATGATGGATTACAAATTGGATGTCAGATAATATCATATCAACCTTTTAAACAAGTGTTTACTGGCACTAGTACACTAACAATAAGAGGTTAATGTATACATAATAAGTAGAGTATAGTACGATTTTCTATTAGGGATATCACCAGTTGAAGACATACAATGGTCTAATGATGATCAGTTATTGTCATGGTTTCCTCCTTCTTTCTATTCTAATGATGTATTTTCAGGAGGTATTGCTGCTACTACATATAATGTACTAGTGAATGGTATCAGTGTTACTAATACCACTGATACTAGTGTATGGTTGAATGCTGCAGGATTGAATATATCTTGTACTAATTTTACTGTCAGTGTTACTGCATCTATTGTACAATATGTATCACAAGGGAGAGAATATATTTTTAACAACACTGCAAGTAGGTGTAAAACTTAATAAATTTGTAACTAAACTTATTTTATAATTATAATTGTGCAGAAATTTATTAGCATGTTTAAAATTGATACTGAGTCTTTTGGAGCCCATGAAAATTTTGGTGTTTAATGCTATGTCCATCCATAGGTTACACTATCAGTATATTGAATTACACTTTGATGTATAATGAAACAAGCGGTTTGTTCTTTATTAATTTCATAAACTTGGTAATGATAATTGAATGCATACTTTATCGTTTACAATGCATGCACTATAAAAATTTTTAGGTAAATAGTTCAGCACGATTCTGTAACATTACCATATATGATAACCTTTATCCTGATGAAGGAGTAACA